GAAAGAGTGGATAATAAAATGCCTTGCTATTTTCCAAAAATAAGGACCTTCAAATAGGAGTAATTAAAATAAATACTTACAGGTTAAAAAATATATATAGGTTTTTTTGTTGTTGTTCTTAACAAAGATTTTTTTAAAGTGTGTATGTTGGTTGAATATAAAAATGAGAGAATATGTCATTAAAGTAATAGGAAAAGGGATCAATAATTTTTAACTAATTTTTAAAATACAGGTATCAGAGTTGTCAGAAAAGTCATTTAATTGCAAAACTCCTGATTTTTTTTCAATGAAAATGAGATTTTTTTAAACTTTATTATGGAAAATTTTAAACATATTCAAAAGTAGAATGATATAACTCTTCCTATATATTGTTCAACTTCAGTAATTATCAACTCACAGCCAATTTGATTTAATCTATAAGTATGTTGACCATCTCTTTTATCTAAAGGAAATACTTTTATCTAAAAGGAAATACTTTTGAGAATGAAAAAGGGTGCTATTAGTAACTGCACCAGGATACCAGGCATAAAACCTAGACAGCTGTAGGCAAACTGGGAAGTATGGTCACCATATCTTTAACCTCACTCACTTCCCTTTCTTCCCTCCCCCACATTCCCCCACATATCACATATTGTTTTGAAGCAATCCCAAACATGACTGTTTCATCAGTAAACATTTCTAAAAGACACGGACTATTTTAATAAATTTATTTATTTATTTTTATTTTTGGCTGCGTTGGGTCTTCATTGCGGTGTGCAGGCTTCTCATTGAGGTGGCTTCTCTTGTTGCAGAGCACAGGCTCTAGGCACACAGGCTTCAGTAGTTGTGGCTCGCAGGCTCTAGAGTGCAGGCTCAGTAGTTGTGGTGCATGGGCTTAGTTGCTCTGAGACATGTGGGATCTTCCCGGACCAGGGCTCGAACCCATGTCCCTGCATTGGCAGGTGGATTCTTAACCACTGCACCATCAGGGAAGTCGGATGAGGGCTATTTTAAAAAAACATAGCCACAATGCTATTATCACACCTAAAAATTGACTTTAATTCCTTAATGTCATCATACATCCAATCATTGTTCAGATTTCCTCAGTTATCACAAAAATGTCTTTATAGCTGATTTGTTCAAATCAGGATCCAAAAGAAGTCCATGGTATTTAGTTAACTGTTCTTAAGTAAATTTAAAACTATGTGTTCCTTCTCCCCTTTTTCCCTCTAGTATGTTATTTGTTGAGAAATCATGTTTGTAACTACAAACAATTTACTTTCATTTAAGTGGAAATGGAAAGTATTAGAATGTTGTTGAAAGCAACTTCACCCTGTTTTCTTTCTTCCTTTCCTTTTCAATTTTGGGGCTATGTAGATGATTTCACATCAGGAGAAGCATGCAAAGTGGAAGATTACTGCTGATTCTCAAAAGACTTCTGTTCAGCAACTAAATGAACAGTTAGAGAAAACAAAACTAGAATTAGAAGAAGCTCAGGACACTGTAAGCAATTTGCATCAGCAAGTCCAAGACAGGAATGAAGTAATTGAAGCTACAAACGAAGCATTACTTATTAAAGTAAGTAAACATATAAAAGTACATAAAGCAGAACTATAATGAAGTAAATTTATGACTTATTTTCCCATCCTTGTAGTTTATAGAGGACTAAATAACCAAAAATTGACCTATTTGAATAAAATGTACTTTATTTAGAAGACACTGAATTTGGACATTATTAATTTGATATGTATCATATTACCACAGGAGAAATAATTTACGTTCAGCCATGGACTTAAAAAAACTTTTTTTTGTGTGTGTGTGAGAACATTCAAGTTCTACTCTTTCAGCAAATTTCAATTATACAACTAGTGTTACCCACTGTAGTCATCATGTTATACATTAGATCCCTCAGACTTTAGTCATCTTATACCTGAAAGGTTGTACCCTGTTAGCAACCTCTCCTATTTCCCCCACCACCCAGCCTCTGGCAACCACTTTCCTGCTCACTGTTTCTATGAGTTTGACTTTTTTTTTTTTTAAGATTCCACACATAAGTGATATCGTGCAGTATTTGTCTTTCTCTGTTTTATTTCACTTAGCATAATGCCCTCAAGGTCCATTCATGTTGTTCCAAAGGGCACACTGTATATTCCATTGTATGTATATTTACCACATCTTTTTTTTTTTAACATCTTTGTTAGAGTATAACTGCTTTACAATGGTGTGTTAGTTTCTGCTTTATAACAAAGTGAATCAGTTATACATATACATATGTCCCCATATCTCTTTCCTCTTGTGTCTCCCTCCCTCCCACCCTCCCTATCCCACCTCTCTAGGTGGTCACAAAACACCGAGCTGATCTCCCTGTGCTATGTGGCTGCTTCCCACTAGCTATCTATTTTACATTTGGTAGTACCACATCTTCTTTATCCATTCATCCGTTGATGGGCACTTAGGTTTTTTCCTTATCTGAGCTATTGTGAATAATGCTGCAATGAACATAGGAGTACAGATATCTCTGATAACCTGTTTTCATTCCCTTTGAATATATACCCAGAAGTGGTATTGCTGGATCGAATGATAGTTCTATTTTTAATTTTAGGGGGAAGGTCCATGCTGTTTTCCTTAATGGCTGTACCAGTTTACATGCCCACCAACAGTGCACAAGGGCCCCCTTTTTTCCACACCCTTGCCAACACTCATCTCTTGTCTTTTTGATGATAGCCATTCTAACAGTATAAGGTGATATCTCATTTGATTTTGACTTGCATTTCCCAGATGATTAGTGATATTGAGTACCTTTTCATGTACCTATTGGCTCTTTGTATATCTTCTTTGAAAAAAATGTATATTCAGTTCCTCTGCCCATTTTTTAATTAGATTGTTTCTTTGCTTTTGAGTTGTATGAGTTCTTTATGTATTTTGGATATTAACTCCTTATCAGTAAATGATTTGCAAATATTTTTTCCCATTCTGTAGGTTGCCTTTTCATTTTATTGGTTTCCATTGCTGTGCAGAAGCTTTTTAGTTTATATAGTCCCTCTGTTTTATTTTTGCTTTTGTTGCCTTTGCTTTTAGTGTCAAATCCAAAAAATCATCACCACGCCTGATATCAAGGTGCTTACCCCATGTTTTTTCTTATAAGAGTTTTATGGTTTCAGGTCATAAATTTAAGTTTTGAATACAGTTTGAGTTGATTTTTGTGTATAGTGTAGGATCAGGGTCCAGTTTCATGTTTTTACATCTGGCTCTCCAGTTTTGCCAGCACCATTCATTGAAGATACTATTCTTTCCATTGTATTGTATATTCTTAGCTCCTTTGTCATAAATTAATTGGCTATACATGCATGGGTTTATTTCTGGGCCATCTATTCTGTTACATTGATCTATGTGTCCATTTCTATGCTAATATGTACTATACTATAGCTTTGCAATCAGGAAGTGTGATGCTTCCAGCTTTGTTCTTCTTCAAGATTGCTTTGGCTATTTGGGGTCTTTTGTGGTCGCATACAAATTTTAGGATACCTTGTTCTATTTCTGTGAAGAATGCCATTGGAATTTTGATGGGGGTTGAATTGGATCTGTAGATCACTTAGGATAGTAAGGACATTTTCACAATATTAATTATTCCAGTTCATGAGCACAGAATATCTTTCCATTTATTTGTATCTTCTTCAGTTTCTTTCATCAGTGTCTTACAGTTTTCAGTGTACAGGTTTTTCATCTCCTTGGATAAATGTATTTCTAGGCATTTTATTCTTTTTGATGAAATTATAAATGGGATTATTTTACTAATTTCTCTTTCTGACAATTCATTATTAATATATAGAAGTACAACAGATTTTTATATACTGATTTTGTATCCTGCTGTTTACTGAATTCATTTACTAGTTCTAACAGTTTTTTGATGGCGTCTTTAGGGTTTTCTATATATAATATCATGTCATTTACAAACAGTTACAGTTTTACTTCTTCCTTTCCAATTTGGATTCCTTCAATTCCTTTTTTTCCCCCCTAATTTCTCTGCCTAGGACTCCCAATTCTGTATTGAATAGAAGTGGTGAGAGTGGGCATCCTTGTCTTGTTCCTGATTTTAAAGGAAATGCTTTCAGTTTTTCACTGTTGAGTAATATGTTAACTGTGGGTTTGTCATATATGACCTTTATTATGTTGGGGTACATTCCGCCTATAACCACGTGTTGTGCATTTTCATCATGAATGGATATTGAACTTTGTCAGGTGCTTTTTCTGCATCTTTTGAGATGATCATATGACTTTTATCCTTCATTTTGTTAATGTGGTATCTCATTGATTTGCAGATGTTGAACCATCCTTATGTCCCTGGACCTAATCCCACTTGATCATGGTATATGATTCTTTTAATGCATTGTTGAATTCACTTTGCTAATATTTTAAAAAACTATTTATTTATTTTAAAATACTTTTTTTATTAAGTGATATTGGAGTATAGCTGTTTTACAGTGTTGTGTTAGTTTCTGCTGTACAGCAAAGTGAATCAGTTATTCATATACATACATCCACTCTTTTTTAGATTCCCTTCCCATCTAGGCCACCACAGAGCACTGAGTAGAGCTCCCTGTGCTAGACAGTAGGTTCTCATTTGTTATCTATTTTATTTATAGTAGTGTATATATGTCAATCCCAATCTTCCAGTTCATCCCATCTGCCTACCTTCCCCCCTTGGTAACCATAAGTTTGTTTTCTATATCTGTGACTCTATTTCTGCTTTGCAAATAAGTTCATCTGTACCATTTTTCTAGATTCCACATGTAAGTGATATATGATATTTGTCTTTCTCATTCTGACTTACTTCACTCTGTATGACAGTCTCTAGGTCCATCCATGTCGCTGCAGATGGCATTACTTCGTTCCTTTTTGTGGCTGAGTAATATTCCATTGTATATATGTACCACATCTTCTTTATGCATTCCTCTGTTGATGGACATTTAGGTTGCTTCCATGTCCTGGCTGATGTAAATAGTGCTGCAGTGAACATCAGGGTGGATGCATCCTTTCAAGTTATGGTTTCCTCCAGATATATGCTCAGGAGTGGGATTGCTGAATTGTATGGTAGTTTTTTAAGGAACCTCCATCGTGGCTGTACCAATTTATATTCCCACCAACAGTGCAGGAGGGTTCCCTTTTCTCCACACCATCTCCAGCATTTATTGTTTGTAGATTTTTTGATGCTGGCCATTCAGTTTGCTAGTATTTTTTGAAGATTTTCATGTCTATGTTCATCAGTGATATTGGCCTGTAATTTTCTTTTCTTGTGGCATTCTTGTCTGGTTTTGGTATCAGGGTAATGCTGGCCTGGTAAAATGAGTTTGGAAATGTTCCCTCCTCTTTTCTTTAAACTAGTTTGAGGAGGATTGGTATTAATTCTTAAATGTTTGTTAGAATTCACCAGTAAAGCCATTTGGTTCTGGACTTTTGTTGTTGGGAGATTTTTTATTATTATTATTATTACTGATTCAATCTCCTTACTAGTAATTGGTCTATTTAGATCTCATTTTATATTTTCTTCATGATTCAGTCTTGAGTTGTATGTTTCTAGGATTTTACCTATTTTTTTCTTTGCTGACCAATTTGTTAGTGTATAATTCTTCATAGTAGTCCCTTTTGATCCTTAGTATTTTTTTGGTGTCAAGTTGTAACATTTCCTCTTTCATTTCTAATTTTATTTATTTAAGTTCTCTCTTTTTTTCTTGTTAAGCCTTGCTAAAGGTTTGTCTATTGTGTTTATCTTTTTAAAAACTCAGCTCTTAGTTTCATTGATATTTTCTATGTCTTTTTAGTCTCTGTTTAATTTATTTCCACTCTGATACTTATATCCTTCCTTCTACTAACTTTGGGCTTAGTTTGTTCTTCCTTTTTTATTTCCTAAGGTAGAAATTTAGCTTGTTTTATTTGGTATCTTTCTTGTTTCTTAATGTAGGCATTTATCGCTATAAACTTCCCTCTTATATCTGCTTTTGCTGCGTCCCATAAGTTTTGGTGTATTATATTTCCATTTTAATTTGTCTTAAGATAATTTTGATTTCTCTGTTGATTTATTCTTTGACACATTGGTTGTTATGTAGCATGTTGTTTAATCTCCAAGTAATTGTGAATTTTCCAGTTTTCTTCTTATAATCGATTTCTACTTTTATACCATTGTAGTTGGAAGATGCTTGATATGATTTTAATCTTCTTAAATTTATTAAGACTTGTTTTGTGACCTAACATATGATCTGTCCTGGAGAATGTTCCATATGCACTTGAGAAGAATATGTACACTCCTGTCATGTGTTGGATGGAATGTTCTGTAAATGTTAAGTCCATTTGGTCTAACTTGTAGTTCAGGTCCAATGTTTTCGTATTGGTTTTCTGTCTGGATGATCTATCCATTGATGAAACTGGGATATTAAAGCCCCCTACATTAATATGTTGCTGTCTGTTAATACTTGCTTTATATATTTATGTGCTCCTATGTTTTTTAGGTGCAAAATATTTACAAATGTTATATTCTTTTGTTGGATTGACCCCTTTATCATTATATAATGACCCTCTTTGTC